CTCTCCATATGTGTGTTGGGCTTTTGAGTTTCTTCTGCCTCTTCATAGCTTTTGCTCATTAAGTAATTTTGTCACCCAGGCTCCAAGGCAGTGGAGCAGTCTCAACTCACTGCAGCCTCCACCTCCCCAGGCTCAGACAACCCTCTAACCTCAGCCTCCTGAATAGCTGGGACTATAGGCATGTGCCACCACGCCTGGCTAAGTAAGTTCTGTAGTTTTCGTAGAAATGGGGTTTTGCCAAGTTGCCCAAGCTGGTGTCCATCTTCCGAGCTCAGGCGATCCGCCTACCTTGGGCTCCCAAAGTGAGAGGATTACAGACATGAGCCACCAAGGCTGAGGCAGAAGAATTGCTTGAACCTGGGAGGCGGAGGTTGCAGTGAGCCGAGATTGCACCACTGCACTCCAGCCTGGCAACACAGCGAGTCTCCATCTCAAAAAAAATGGTTTTTTATTTGTAGAGATGGCGTCTAGCTATATTGCTTAGGCTGGTCTTGAACTCCCAGCCTTAAGCAGTATTCTTGCCTTGGCCTCGCAAAGGGCTGAGATTACAGGCATGAACTACGGCACCCAACTTAACTTTTTTGTTTATTTAATACAGACAGGGTCTTGCTATATTGCCCAGGCTGCTCCTGTGCTCAAGCAAACCTCCCACCTTGGCCTCCCAAAGTGCTATCGGAGTGGCTGCTACTTTCTTCTTGATTTGCTGGAGTTTTCGTGTACCATCAGTTCTGTTATAATGCTTATTTTGAAAATGTGAATTTATTCCAATGCAATTGATATATTAGGGCACAATTTGAGCATAACACCAATATCACATTTGCTTACACACATCCAAGGTGAATCCAGGAAACTGCACTCTGCTATAAGTGTGTGTGTAGGAAAACACAAAGCACACATACGCAGCACTCCTAACAAATAATATCACCACAGTTCCCGGGGTGTTAGAGCCACACCCATCCACATCTGGTACTAGGACTTTCCATCAGATCTCAGATAACCCTCCTTCCACCACATCACAGTGATTCACACGGTGCTCCCTCCACCCCACACCCATTGCCACAACAAACTTCAAGTCTTTGTCAAGGTCGTGTGCCATATTTTTTGGAGTATGTTGGTATGTCTTAAACACTTCACCCGTTTGAAACTGTCCTCTCCTTTTGTATTCTGTTCCAGTCTTTCTTTAAGCATCACTGATAAAGTTTATGAGGACTGCGACAGTCCTGTTGTCTCCGTAAGCCTGCAGGGCTTTGCCTATTGTCGTGATTTCTGTGAATGCATGCATTATCATAGAACTGACCATTTTAGATGCTAGTTGTTGGCCTGGCGCGGTGGCTCATGTCTGTAATCCCAGCACTTTGGGAGGCCGAGGCGGGTGGATCACCTGAGGTCAGGAGTTCGAGACCAGCCTGGCCAACATGGTGAAACTTCATCTGTACAAAAAAAAAAAAAGTACAAAAAAATTAGCTGGGTGTAGTGGCACATGCCTGTAAATCCCAGCTACTCAGGAGGCTGAGTCAGGAGAATTGCTGGAACCTGGGAGGTGAGGGTTGCAGTGAGCTGAGATCATGCCATTGTACTCCAGCTTGGGCAACAGAGGGAGACTCCGTCTCAAAAAAAAAATTTTTTTTTTTTAAAGATGGGGTTTCACCGTGTTGGCCAGGCTGGTCTTGAACTCCTGACCTCAGGTGATCCACCCACCTCGGCCTCCCAAAGTGCTAGGATTACAGGTGTGAGCCACTGGGCCCAACCAAAAAAAAAAAATTTTTTTTTAAGGTTGGTCAAGTGAAGCAGTGGAAGTGGAGAAGTAACAAATCTGTAACTGGTTGTGATGGATTAGGTGTAAACACCACTGCACTCAGCCCAGCCTCTAACCATGTTTTAAATGCACATACCCTTTGAGCCAGTGATTCCACTTTTAAAATTTATCTTAAAAGCAGGGTTGGGTGCAGCAGCTCACACTTGTCATCCTAGCATTTTGGGAGGCCAAAGCAGGAGGACCCCTTGAGTCCGGGAGTTCAAGACCGACCTGGACAACATAGCAGGACCCCGTCTGGGTAAAAAATTAGCTGGGCATGGTGGTGCATGCCTGCATTCCCAGCTACTATGGTGGGAAGATCACTTGAGCCCAGGAGTTTGAGGCTGCAGTGACCTCTGGTTGTGCCACTGCACTCAGCCTGGGTGGCAGAGTGAGACCCTGTCTTAAAAGGAAGAAAAAAACAATTTATCTGAAAAACGTCCTTGCACACATGCTAGACATTGGGTACCAAGCTACTTTGTTGTCATAGTGGACAAGGATTTGACTTACTTCTGTCCCTCCCTCCCTCCCTCCCTTCCCCCCTTCCCTCCCTCTCCTTCCTTCCTCCTCCCTCCCTCCTTTCTCTCTCTCTCTCTTTCTTCCTTTAACCCTCGGGGAACTGTGGTGACATCCTTGTCTATATGACAAAGCAGGTTGGTATCCAATGTTTAGCATGCATGCCTGTCACAGGCATCAAATCCGAGGCTTGCGTCCATGCAGGGGTGAATCTGTAGCAACATACAGACCGAGGACATACCTGCCGGACTGATGGGAAATGATGGCTAAGTAGGACTGGGGATTCCTCACCATTACTTTTTTTTTTTTTTTTTT